GGTATTTCTCTGGGGCTCTTAGACCAGAAGGAAAATTCTGGCCTCTTTATTTCTAGCACTGGGGCTGGGACGGGGCGAGGGGTTGGGCAGGTAGGAGAATGGAGCCCTCTTGCTCAGGCCCAGGTGGCAGTGCCACGAGGCACTGAAATCACCCCTGACCCTGCCTGTGCTGGCTGCCCAGAGTCCAGTGGCCTGGAACATGAGGTAGAGGAGGGCCAGAGTGGGGGCTGGGGCAAGAAATGTGTTCCCGTGGTGTCTGGGGAAGCCCAGAGAGGTGGTGGTGTTGGTGATGCAATCTTACACAGGGCAGAGTCCATCAGTACTGACAAGGGGCATGGCACTTGGGAGGGCCTGTACCCAGCTGCCACTTCTCTTTCAAGGGACTGTGAGAGTTGCCTAAATTCGGGACATCCTAGAAGTAGCTCCAGGCCTTTTTTAATTTCTTAAAATTTAAAATTTTTTATTTTGTTTAATTTTATTGAGATAAGGTCTCAATCCGTTGTCCAGGCTGGAGTGCAGTGGCATAATCATAGCTCACTACAGCCTTGAACTCCTGGGCTCAAGCAAGCCTTCTGCCTCAGCTTCCTTAGTAGCTGGGGCCCCAGAGAAATACCCACTGGAACTCACAGCTTCCTCATAGACACTGCTGCAGCAGTGGTGCACACCATCACACCTGGCTAATTTTTAAATTGTTCATAGAGACAGGCTCTCGCTATGTTGCCCAGGCTGGTCTTGAACTCCTGGGCTCAAGCAATCCACTTGCCTCAGCCTCCTAAAGGGCTGAGGTTACAGGCATGAGCTACCACACCAGCCTTCAGGCCTATTAATGGGAGTGGGAAATGCCAGCTTTAAGAGCTTTTGACAACAAACCAAGGCGAGTCCAGCAGTCTTGGTTCCCAGTCTCAGCCTTCCTGACTATGTTTCCTTGCTGGCTTTATTTTTTATTGTATTTTTTATTTTTTTATTTTTTTGAGATGGAGTTTCATTCTTGTTACCCAGGCTGGAGTGCAATGGCGCGATCTCGACTCACCGCAACCTCCGCCTCCTGGGTTCAGGCAATTCTCCTGCCTCAGCCTCCTGAGTAGCTGGGATTACAGGCACGCGCCACCATGCGCAGCTAATGTTTTGTATTTTTAGTAGAGACGGGGTTTCACCATGTTGACCAGGATGGTCTCGATCTCTTGACCTCGTGATCCACCCCCCTTGGCCTCCCAAAGTGCTGGGATTACAGGCATAAGCCACCGCGCCCGGCTGTATTTTTTATTTTTTTTTGGACAGGGTCTCACTCTGTCATCCAGGCTGGAGTGCTGTGCCCTGATCACGACCTCCAAGGGTTAAGTGATGCCTCCACTTCAGCCTCCAGAGTAGCTAAGGCTACAGGTGCATGCCACCATTTATTTTTAATTTTTTTGTAGAGACAGGGTCTTGCTGTGTTGCCCAGGGTGGTCTCAAACTCCTGGGCACAAGCGATCCTCTCACCTCAGCCTCCCAAGGTGTTGGGATAATAGACGTGAGCCACCGCACTGGGCCCTCACTGGCTTTAAATGGGGTGGACCCAGACCCCTCCACCTTGAATTCATGAGGGTGGGCCTCATGCTAGCTTTTCTCCTTATGCCCCAGTTCCTCCAAGAAGCCTGACACGGAGAAAGCTGTGGGGGCAGCGAGTGTGATTTGGAAATGTGTCCTTACTCCGCTTTGTTCATTTCTCCTCTATTTAGATGATGGGGGCTGTCAAGAGAGCCTATTAGAGCTGGCACCTGGGGGACAGGGGTCCTACTTGGAGAGCTGGGCCTCAGTACCAACAGTGTCCACCATGTGGCAGTGCCGTGCCTCTGGACAGCAGCTGGCTTGCAGCTGGCTGGAGCTCCCCAGGGACAGGGAAGGGGCAGCTCTGGGGAGTGGATGGATGAGGAGTGCTCCTAGACCTCTCACTCTGGGGAACCTGCCTCCCCCACAAGAGACAGGAAGAAACTGGTTACTTTGTTATTTCCCCATCACACTGCCAGAGAAGAGAGGCTGTCTTCAGGATCCACATCACTGCTACCTTTGGTTTTGGAACTCATCACACGGACACGTGGCAATGGAGCTTGGTGGTGTACCACGCTCTTCCTAGAACCTCAGGGCACTATTTGGTGGGGGTGGGGTGGGATGAGGGTGCATGCACTGAGACACTTAGATTCTCCTCTCCACCCTGCATTTCTCCCCAGACTCTGAAACACATTCAAGCGCTCTGTGCAGTGTTCTCCCCAGCTCCCAGCTCCCAGCTCCCAGCTCCCATTCTGTTGGTTAGGCTGGTAAATGACAGCCCTCTACCCCCTGGGGTCTGAACATCGGGTTGGCAAAGTGGAGGTGTCTATCCATGGTGGTGCCTCAGAAGACTTACCTGTTGGTATCAGTAGGCAGTGTCAGGGGAGGTGACAAAAAGTGGCTGCAGGAGTCACTGACCCCACCTCTCCCCACCCTCACTGTCAGGTGCCCCCAATTTCTAGCTCTTCCCACCCCCTTGCTACTGTGCCTGGCCTGGTCCTACCTCCCCACTGACACTTACGTCAGAGCTCAGCTATAAATATGCTCTTAGCATCTTAGTCACTTTTCCCAAGAAGTGCTCCTGAGTTATAAATACCCCAGCCATCTGCCTCACTGCCTGCCCTACCACCAACCTGGTTGGGGGCTGGGGGATAGAGACAGGCTTGGAGGTGGGTAAGGAAGTAGAAGAAGCAAAATGGGAGTGGTTATCTTGCTCAAATGAGAAAAGCCTGAAGGAGTCTAGAGGTAGGAGCTAGGAAGCTCTAGAAGAAAATGTTTGGAAGAAGACAGACCCACTCTTTCCCCGTTTTACAAAAGGCAGAGCCAAAAAAGAAAGGGAATAATGCTGATCCTGTTTTTATTTAAAAATAGGCTGTTTTGTTCATCATGGATTTTTTTGCATTAATTTTGACTTTAAAAAAATATTGCATTGAAATCTTATCTTGATTAATATATTTTTTACCACCTCCTTAAAATTTACCCCCCACCCCAGGTGAATGATTCACTTTGCCTTACCCCAGTCTTGGCTCTGGGGACTAAGCTTTAATTGGGAAGGAGGTTAGATCTGGGGGTCGGGGGTGTGTGGGGGAGACACCGGAAGGCCTCCTTAGATTTTCCATAGATGAAGGTCTCCTCAGGTTAAAGGTGGAATAACTTCCATGGGCTGCTCAGGAAGCCCCCAAGCTCAGATTTACAGTCCTCCAGGGAGTCCTTTTCAGACTTTCCCCTCCAGGGCTCCTATTTCAGGGACCTCTTAACCTCGTAGGAGGGGGTTATAAGCTGAGCAAACACAGACATCACGTTTACCAAAGAACACATGGGTTTTGCGCAAGCTCGGCCTTGGGCTGCAGACAATATCGACCTGGTGGTTCAGGACTGTCCAGCCAAAGGGAGGAGATCTGGGGGAGGAAGGGCAAAGGTCTAAAAAAGACCCAGTCTCAGAGCAAATGCTACCCTCTCCTCACACAGGCCTTCCTCTTCTCCCTGTCCCACTCCAGCAGCCCTTGCCTGTTCCAGCATCCAGGCAGGACTCCTGGGTGGAGCACCCGGGGCAGGTGAAAGGAAGGCAAGTCACAGGTTTTGGCAGCCAGCTCTGAGCATGCTTCTGCCTCCCACACCTGCTTGCCCACAGCTGGTCAGTTTACTTGATGACTGAGCATTGATCTGTCTCATCTTTTGGGGGGATTACAGAGGGAACAGGTAAAACCTAGGTTTTTATTAGTCATGAGACCTAAAGATGGTTCTGGAAGGATGGGGGGCAGGGGTGGTTAAGAAAGAAGAGGCATGGCCGGGCGCGGTGGCTCAAGCCTGTAATCCCAGCACTTTGGGAGGCCGAGGCGGGCGGATCACGAGGTCAAGAGATCGAGACCATCCTGGTCAACACGGTGAAACCCCGTCTCTACTAAAAATACAAAAAATTAGCTGGGCATGGTGGTGCGTGCCTGTAATCCCAGCTACTCAGGAGGTTGAGGCAGGAGAATTGCCTGAACCCAGGAGGCGGAGGTTGCGGTGAGCCGAGATCGCGCCATTGCACTCCAGCCTGGGAAAAAAGAACACAACCCCGCCCCAAAAAAAAAAAAAAAAAAAAAAAGAAAGAAGAGGCATAAAGTGTGAGATGGATACAATAGCTCAGTCCCAAGAAGGCCCTGTGAAGAGAGAGCAGAGTAGGCAGACTACAGCATAAGCAGGCGGGCTCTGTGTCATCTGGGGTGCCAGTTAGGGCCCTTGGAGGAGATGGAGGAACCATTCAGCTGTCTGTTTTATTTACAGAGGTATAGGCAGAGTTAAGGGAACCAGTAAGAGATGTTAAAGCCCTAGGGACTAGCAACGTAGAAAGTCATTAGGACCCCCTAGTGTTGAAGCAGTGATATCAGAAAGTAGGCAGAGCTGAGGCCACGGAAGCAGGTAGCCAGATTACTAGTATAGGGACACAGTACAGCCAGTTACACAGAACCATGGCACCTAGGCAGAGAGGGAGCAGGAATGAGAAATGCCCTGGCCTCAGCAAGAAGCCAGAAGGCAGGGGAGCTCAGGTGATTCAGCTCTTAAAGGCATAGAGAAAGGCAGAGGAGGACAAAAAAATGGATGAGGGTGTGCAAAGAGAGCGGTGGCAGTTCACCTGGACAAGTAAGAAGAAAAGGGGCTCAAAACAAATAGTGAGCCTCTGTTGGACAGCAGTGATCTAAACTTCGGTGAATCCAAAGAAGGGGCTCTCTGGAGATCTACAAAAATCGGGAGAAGGGGCTGCGTCTTCTTGGAGTGGGGACCATCAAGTGGAAAGGACAGGAAGACATAGTAGGTTACAGGGTCAATTCAAGGTGAGCTAAGGGTGTCTTTGCCTGAGAACTAGATGGCATTGCTTGTGGTTGGAGATGGGTCTGAGTCCCTGGAGTTGGGGGTAAGCATGTGGGGCTAACAGGATGGACTTTGCCCTAGGAAAGAGGGTAGTGGTCAGAAAGATGGGACAATGACTCTTTAGATGAAGGTCTCTTCAAGTCAAAGGTGGGGTAATTTCCATAAGATGCTAGGAAGAGGGAGTCCACATTCTGGACAGAGAATGGGGTCATTCCCTCCTCTCAAGGAAGTGCACTTCTGTGGGGGCATGTTTGCCCACGCCACCTTGGGCTGCCCACACGACACATAGACTAACTGCACCCACAGGCCTCTACAACCATGTCAGGTATGTCAGTCTTGACAATGTTGCTGTCCCTGTCATAGTAGAGCAGAGACAGGGGGCGCCGGGATGTGGGCACACAGCATGAGCCCCCTCCAGTGGTGCCTGCAGCTGTGTTGGCCTTGAGAAGATTGAGCACGGCAGTGTGAAAGGAGGCAGCAATACCAGGCATGCCTGCTATGTGTAGCGGGCACTGCCCTATGCAGAAGTTCATGGCGTAGCCCTCAGGCTGGATGATCCAGTCGTGCCAGCCAATCTCACGGAAGTCCACAAAAAACTCTTGTCGACAGCACATCCTGGACCCTCCTTGGCAGTCGATGCCCCGTCGGCGAATCCGGTGTTTGCCCCCAACTCTCACTCGGGCTGCCACAAAAGGCCTATGGGCAGCTCCACCCAGGATGACTGAGCTCCGGGCTACCTGGTCTTCAGGTACCAGCTCCAGCGTCAGGTGCCCCTGGCTGCAGGCAGCTTGAGCTTCAGGTCCCAGAAGGAGCTGATGCCAGCCACTGGCATTCACCTCCAGCAGATACTGAGTAGCCAAGGTGAGGTTGGTGTTATATGGACTCAGCACAAGGACCCTCAATTTCAAGGTCCAAGTGGTATTGGAAGGGAGCTGCACAAAGAACATGAGGCTTGCCTGCTGGACCTCCATGCCACCAGCAGTTCTATCAGAGGAGAAGTGAAAATCAAGACGAGTCTGGTTGATGGTGGAGAGGCCTGTGGACATAAGAAGCCCCAGTCATTGTGGCCTTCTGAGTGTCAAAGCTACCAACTATTTCTCTATACTCAGCATTCTTGAGCTGTCTATAGCACTTGGCATTTGCTACAGTTTAAACATGTCCTCCAAAGTTCATGTGCTGGAAATTGGATCTGCAATGCAGTGGCGTTGGGAAGTAGGCCCTAATGGGAGGTGTTTGGGTCATGGGAACACAACCTTTATGAATGGATTAATGCCCTTATCTTGGGATTAATAATGGGAATGGGCTCCTTATCAAAGGATAAGTTTCATTCCCCTCAGCCCCAACCTCTCTTTGCCCTTCTACCAAGGAATAACACAACAAGAAGGCCCTTGCCAGATGCCAGCCCCTTGATCCTGGACTTCCCAGCCACCAGAACCATGAGTTAATGCATTTATGCTCATTATAAATTAGGTAGTCTGTGGTATTCTGTTATACCAGCACAAAATGGACTAAGCACTGTTGACAACGCTTTCCTGCCTGAAAATCTTTTCTCTCTTGGCTTCCGTGACACAACTCTGTTATAATTCTTCCATGGTTTTCTTTGCTTCTCTGACCATCCCTTCAATACAAGAGTTCTCCGAGATCTGTCTTGGACTTTCATTTCCTTCTATTCTACATTAAGGGAGTGCTTAATTAGACTCATGGTCAAGCAATACAATTTTTATGTTGGTGATTCCCAAATCTGTATCCACAGTCCAGACCACTTTGCATATTTGGACTGGACATATAGATTTGGAAATCACCATGCTTCAGGCCTAGATTTCTAACTACTTACTTTTGTCACATGAATATCCTGGCAGCACATTAAAATCAATTTGCCCCAGAGCTGGGTGCAGTAGTGCATGCCTGTAATCCCAGCTACTTGGAAGACTGAGATGGGAGGATTGCATGAGCCCAGAAGTTTAGGATCAGCCCAGGCAACATGGCAAGACCTCGTCTTGCAAATACATATATGTGTATGTATACATATATGTGTATATATACGTGTATGTATATATGTGAGTATATACACAAACAGAAGTGCATGCACGTGTGTGCACATGTGCTTGCACACACATACACACACACACACATTTGAGATGGAGTTTTGCTCTTATTGCACAGGCTGGAGTGCAATGGCACAATCTCGGCTCACCGCAACCTCCACCTCCTGGATTCGAGCAATTCTCCTGCCTCAGCCTTCCGAGTAGCTGGGATTACAGGTGTGTGCCACCATGCCCAGCTAATTTTGTATTTTTAGTAGAGACGGGGCTTCTCCCATGTTGGTCAGGCTGATCTCAAACTGTCAACCTCAGGTAATCTGCTCGCCCTGGCCTCACAAAGTGCTAGGATTACAGGTGTAAGCCACCGTGCTCGCCCTATACATATATATTTTTTTAATCAATTTTTTGCAACCTGAAAATTATTATTTTCCTTCCTACATACCCATCTTTCCATTCTTTTTTTTTTTTGAGACGGAGTTTCGCTCTTGTTACCCAGGCTGGAGTGCAATGGCACGATCTCGGCTCACCGCAACCTCCGTCTCCCGAGTTCAGGCAATTCTCCTGCCCCAGCCTCCTGAGTCGCTGGGATTACAGGCACACGCCACCATGCCCAGCTAATTTTTTGTATTTTTAGTAGAAACAGGGTTTCACCATGTTGACCAGGATGGTCTCGATCTTTTGACCTCGTGATCCACCCGCCTCGGCCTCCCACAGTGCTGGGATTACAGGCTTGAGCCACCGCGCCCGGCCTTTTTTTTTTTTTTTGAGACAGAGCTTCACTTCATTTTCCCAGGTTGGGAGTGCAATGGCGTGATCTCGGCTCACCGCAACCTCCGCCTCCTGGGTTCAGGCAATTCTCCTGCCTCAGCCTCCTGAGTAGCTGGGATTACAGGCACGCACCACCATGCCCAGCTAATTTTTCGTATTTTTAGTAGAGACGGGGTTCACCATGTTGACCAGGATGGTCTCGATCTCTTGACCTCGTGATCCACCCGCCTCGGCCTCCCAAAGTGCTGGGATTACAAGCTTGAGCCACCGCGCCCGGCCTTCCATCTTTCCATTCTTGGTGATGCCACTACCCTCCTTATCACCTATAAAAACTCTATGATCAGGCCGGGCGCGGTGGCTCAAGCCTGTAATCCCAGCACTTTGGGAGGCCGAGGCGGGTGGATCACGAGGTCAAGAGATTGAGACCATCCTGGTCAACAAGGTGAAACCCCGTCTCTACTAAAAATACAAAAATTAGCTGGGCATGATGGTGCGTGCCTGTAGTCCCAGCTACTCGGGAGGCTGAGGCAGGAGAATTGCTTGAATCCAAGAGGCGGAGGTTGCAGTGAGCCAAGATCGTGCCATTGCACTCCAGTCTGGGCAACAACAGCGAAACTCTGCCTCAGAAAAAAAAAAAAACTCAATGATCAGCCAGGCACGGTGGCTATCGCCTGTTACCCTGGCACTTTGGGAAGCTGAGGCGGGTGGATCACCTGAGGTCAGGAGTTCAAGACCAGCCTGGCCAACATAGTGAAACCCCATCTCTACTAAAAATACAAAAATTAGCCGGGCATGGTAGTGCACGCCTGTAATCCCAGCTACTTGGGAAGCTGAGGCAGGAGAATCAATTGAACCCGGGAGGCAGAGGTCGTAGTGACCCGAGAACACACCATTGCACTGCAGCCTGGGTGACAGAGTAAGGCTCCATCTCAAAAAACAAAAACAAACAAACAAAAAACCTCCATGATTACCTTTTTCACTCCCCATATAGTTTGTCTCACCAGAATGGTTCTAATGCCTGTGCGTTTCTTTACATCCCCATTACTACTGCCCAATTTCCTTTTTTCATCCCTCACCTTCCTTATTGAACATCTTAGTTGAGTTTCTATTCCCTTCACTCTACTGAAATTGCACTTGTCAAGATCACCAACATCTTCCACACAGCAACTCTATCCATTTATATTCATCTTACTTGACCTTTAAGCAGTGTTTGACACAGGCAACCACTCCCTTCTTCTCACATATTTTATTCTCTTGGCTTTTATAACACTGGCCACTCTATCTTTTTCTCCTCTGTTGACAGCTCCTCTTTGTTGGCCTAACCTTTAAATGCTGGAAGTCAGGCCAGGCATGGTGGCTCACACCTGTAATCCCAGAACTTTGGAGACTGAGATGGGTGGATTGCTTGAGTCCAGGAGTTTGAGATCAGCCTGGGCAACATGGCAAAACCCTGTATCTACAAAAATTACAAAATTACCCAGGCATGGTAGTGTACAGCTACAGTCCCAGCTACTAGAGAGGGCTGAGGTGGAAGGATCTCCCTGGGAGATCAAGGCTATAGTGAGAAGCAACCCACCACTGCACTCCAGCCTAGGCAACAAAGTGAGACCCTGTCTTAAATAAATAAATAAATAAATAAATAAAGTCCTCAGCTCCCTTCTCTTTTCTATCTGTACCCTCTCCCAGAATGATGATCTCATCCATTCCCATGGCTTTCAATTTTATCTGTATGCTGATGACTTCCAAATATATATCTCTGGTCCTGACCTCTCCCTGTGCCCCAGCCTTGTATGTCGAGCTGCCTATCTGATATTTGACTTGGACATCTAATATTTAACTTGGACATCCAATGACATTTCAATATCTTGTGTTGTTTTTTTTTTGTTTTTTTTTTCTGATGGAGTCTCTCTGTCCCCCAGGCTGGAGTGCAGTTGCCTGATCTTGGCTCACTGCAACCTCTGCCTACAGGGTTCAAGCCATTCTCCTGCCTCAGCCTCCTGAGAAGATGGGATTACAGGTGTGTACCACCACGCCCAGCTAATTTTTGTATTTTTAGTAGAGACGGGGTTTCACCATGTCGATCAGGCTAGTCTTGAACTCCTTACCTCATGATCCACCTGCCTCAGCCTCCCAAAGTGCTGGGATTACAGGTATGAGTCATGGCACCTGGCCAACCTCTTTTTTTAATAAAAAAAAAATTATTAGCCAGGTGTAGTGGCTCACACCTGTAATCCCAGCACTTTGGGAGGCTGAGGTGGGCAGACAACCTAAGTTTAAGCGTTCAAGACCGGCCTGACCAACGTGGTGAAACCCCGACTCTACTAAAAACACAAAAAATTAGCCAGGCATAGTGACAGGCACCTGTAATCCCAACTACTTGGAAGACTGAGGCAGGAAAATTGCTTGAACCTGACAGGCAGAGATTGCAGTGAGCCAAGATTGTGTCACTGCACTCCAGCCTGAGCAATAGAAAAAGACTCTGTCTCAAAAAAAAAGTTTTTTTATTTTATTTATTTATTTTATTTTTATGGCAACAAGGTTTTATTTTTTTTAAAAAAGGAAAGAAGCCCAGGGAAGCATCCTCTTGTATTCACATTCACAAGAAACCACATGCTCAGTAGGTTAAACATGTTCCCCAGCTTGGTGTCCACTGTCCTTGTGAAGATAGCTCAGGGCAGCTTACTCCAATTTCCCTGTGGATTACAGTTTTTCCAAGAGTCTGCATAAAGAGCACCTTCCATGGTTGGTTTAAACAGATTGGGACACCTGCAGTAAAGACTTCCCAAGAGAGGCCGGGCGCGGTGGCTCAAGCCTGTAATTCCAGCACTTTGGGAGGCCGAGGTGGGTGGATCACGAGGTCAAGAGATCGAGACCATCCTGGTCAACATGGTGAAACCCCGTCTCTACTAAAAATACAAAAAATTAGCTGGGCATGGTGGCACGTGCCTGTAATCCCAGCTACTCAGGAGGTTGAGGCAGGAGAATTGCCTGAGCCCAGGAGGCGGAGGTTGCGGTGAGCCGAGATCGCACCATTGCACTCCAGCCTGGGTAACAAGAGCGAGACTCCGTCTCAAAAAAAAAAAAGACTTCCCAAGAGGAACTAACTCAGCTTTCAATGACCCCCTTTTGCAGAATTGGGATGGATATTTGCTTGGATTCTCTAAGGTCATGTGTCAGACACTCCAAGAGATAGGGCCACTGTGAGCATCTTGGGTCATCCCCAAAC